CTCACACGTTTCGTGGCCCCATAGGGAGCTCCACCGAAGGCCCCAGTGGCTGCGGGCGCACAGCGGCGCCGCACCCATTTCGGCACACCCTTCACACGTTTCGTGGCCCCATAGGGAGCTCCACGGAAGGCCCCAGTGGCTGCGGGCGCATGGCGGCGCCGCGCCCATTTCGGCACACCCCTCACACGTTTCGTGGTAGGGAGCTCCACCGAAGGCCCCTCATGCTGCGTCCGCATGGCGGCGCCGCATTCATTTCGGCACACCCCTCACACGCTTCGTGGCCCCATAGGGAGCTCCACCGAAGGCCCCAGTGGCTGCGGGCGCATGGCGGCGCCGCACCCATTTCGGCACACCCCTCACACGCTTCGTGGCCCCATAGGGAGCTCCACCGAACGCCCCAGTGGCTGCGGGCGCATTTCGGCACACCCCTCGGCGCCGCACATTTCGGCACACCCCTCACACGTTTCGTGGCCCCATAGGGGAGCTCCACCGAAGGCTGCGGGGCGCATGGCGGCGCCGCACCCATTTCGGCACACCCCTCACACGTTTCGTGGCCCCATAGGGAGCTCCACCGAAGGCCCCAGTGGCTGCGTTCGCATGGCGGCACGCACCCATTTCGGCACACCCTTCACACGCTTCGTGGCCCCATAGGGAGCTCCACCGAAGGCCCCAGTGGCTGCGGGCGCATGGCGGCGCCGCACCCATGTCGGCACACCCCTCACCCGTTTCGTGGCCCCATAGGGAGCTCCACCGAAGGCCCCAGTGGCTGCGGGCGCATGGCGGCGCCGCACCCATTTCGGCACACCCCTCACACGCTTCGTGGCTCCATAGGGAGCTCCACCGAAGCTCCCAGTGGCTGCGTTGGCATGGCGGCGCCGCACCCATTTCGGCACACCCCTCACACGTTTCGTGGCCCCATAGGGAGCTCCACCGAAGGCCCCAGTGGCTGTGTTCGCATGGCGGCGCCGCACTCATTTCAGCACACGCCTCACACGCTTCGTCGCCCCATAGGGAGCTCCACCGAAGGCCCCAGTGGCTGCGTTCGCATGCGCCCACCGCACCGATTTCAGCACACCCCTCACACGTTTCGTGGCCCCATAAGGAGCTCCACCGAAGGCCCCAGTGGCTGCGGGCGCATGGCGGCACCGCGCCCCTTTCGGCACACCCCTCACACGTTTCGTGGCCCCATAGGCAGCTCCACCGAGGGCCCCAGTGGCTGCGTCCGCATGGCGGCGCCGCACACATTTCGGCACACCCCTCACACGCTTCGTGGCCCCATAGGGAGCTCCACCGAAGGCCCCAGTGGCCGCGTCCACATGGCGGGGCCGCACCCATTTCGGCACACCCCTCACACGCTTCGTGGCCCCATAGGGAGCTCCACCGAAGGCCCCAGTGGCCGAGTCCACATGGCGGCGCCGCACCCATTTCGGCACACCCCTCACACGCTTCGTGTCCCCACAGGGAGTTCCACCGAAGGCCCCAGTGGGCTGCGTGCGCATGGCTCCACCGGCGCCGCGCCCATTTCGGCACACCCCTCACACGTTTCGTGGCCCCATAGGGAGCTCCACCGAAGGCCCCAGTGGCTGCGTTCGCATGCGGCCGCACCCATTTCGGCACACCCCTTACACGTTTCGTGGCCCTATAGGGAGCTCCACCGAAGGCCCCAGTGGCTGCGTTGGCATGGCGGCGCCGCGCCCATTTCGGCACACCCCTCACACGTTTCGTGGCCCCATAGGGAGCTCCACCGAAGGCCCCAGTGGCTGCGTTCGCATGGCGGCGCCGCACCCATTTCGGCACACCCCTCACACGTTTCGTGGCCCCATAGGGAGCTCCACCGAAGGCCCCAGTGGCTGCGTTCGCATGGCGGCGCCGTGCCCATTTCGGCACACCCCTCACACGTTTCGTGGCCCCATAGGGATCTCCACCGAAGGCCCCAGTGGCTGCGTTCGCATGGCGGCGCCGCGCCCATTTCTGCACACCCCTCACACGTTTCGTTGCCCCATAGGGAGCTCCACCGAAGGCCCCAGTGGCCGCGTCTGCATGGCGGCGCCGCACCTATTTCGGCACACCCCTCACACGCTTCGTGGCCCCATAGGGAGCTCCACCGAAGGCCCCAGTGGCCGCGTCCACATGGCGGCGCCGCACTCATTTCGGCACACCCCTCACACGCTTCGTGGCCCCATAGGGAGCTCCACCGAAGGCCCCAGTGCTACCGCCCTCATGCGTCCCGTACGCCCAGGACAGCGTTTCGTGGCACGCCTTTCGTGGCCCCATAAGGAGCCCCACCGAAAGCGGCACCCACAAAGCGTTATTCACAATTGCATATGGTTGGGTCCTTCGCCAGGATAATCCGTAAGGGCTTCGCCCCCTGCCGCCGGCCCCCTCTCTCGGAGAATGGGCCATGGAAGAGCTAAGTCATGAGGCTTTGGCGCTGTCGTGCAGCAGTATCGGAACTTCATGCGAGGCCGATTCGCAATCGGCAAAACCAACTGATCACAAGAGGGGTTACCACACAGGGCGATTGGTAAGACGTGTATGGTTTACGAGCTTGGTTACCACACCTTGGATTAAAGGGCCGAGGGAGTACTCGCAGTTTGGGTTACCACGCCTTGCGATGGATGTGCGTGAGGGGTGGCACCGAATTTCAGAAATGTGGCAAATCCCCTGTGTTTTTGGACCCTGACCCCGCGGATCTGCGTGAGGGGTGGCACCGAATTTCAGAAATGTGGCAAATCCCCTGTGTTTTTGGACCCTGACCCCGCGGATCTGCGTGAGGGGTGGCACCGAATTTCAGAAATGTGGCAAATCCCCTGTGTTTTTGGACCCTGACCCCGCGGATCTGCGTGAGGGGTGGCACCGAATTTCAGAAATGTGGCAAATCCCCTGTGTTTTTGGACCCTGACCCCGCGGATCTGCGTGAGGGGTGGCACCGAATTTCAGAAATGTGGCAAATCCCGTGTGTTTTTGGACCCTGACCCCGCGGATCTGCGTGAGGGGTGGCACCGAATTTCAGAAATGTGGCAAATCCCTGTGTTTTTGGACCCTGACCCCGCGGATCTGCGTGAGAGGTGGCACCGAATTTCAGAAATGTGGCAAATCCCCTGTGTTTTTGGACCCTGACCCCGCGGATCTGCGTGAGGGGTGTCGATTTCGAGCCCCCCCAGCAATTCAGACAACGCGCCCAGGGGGTGCTAAAAGTCCCGTTTGGGCATTCCCCCCTCGCGCGGTCAGTCAATTAGTTACAGTAACCAGCAAGAAGCAGAACTGTAACACTGGAGACTACAAGCTACAACTGGTACTGGAAACTGCGAACCCGCGCCTACAGCCTGGTGGCCCCACAAGGGGGCCGGCGGATTTACGTCTTCTTCCATCTTCAAGTTTAGCAGCCCCCAGTCTTTCTCACGAAGAAATCCTATGAACTACCTCTTGACGCATGTTCGATCGCCTGCACGCAGAGCTAAACTGCATAGCCATACGGTCGGGGTCTTTCGGGGAGCGTGTCGCTCCGCCGGTCCTGGCCCATAACGCCTCGGCGCGACACGCTGTCCGTGCCCTTGTCCCCGAGCGTCCAAGCTCCGAGCCTTCCCGAGCCTCCCGCCCCGTGGAGCCCAGTGACACGAGATCCGCTCGCAAAGAAGAGTGTGTCGCCAGGACCGCCGCCGCGACACGCTATGAACAAGTTCCCGACCGCAGGCTGTAGGAATAAGAGGAGGAGGAGGAAGAGGATGAGGGTAATGAGGAGGAGGAGGAGGAGGAGAAGAAGGAGAAGGAGAAAGAGGACAAGGAGGGGAGGAGGAGGAGGAGGAGGAGGAAGAGAGGAGCAGGAGGAGGAGGACGAGGAGGAAGAGGAGGAGACGAGGAGGAAGATATGGGAAGAGGAGGAGGAGGAGGAGGAGGAGGAGGAGGAGGAGAGGAGGAGGAGGAGGAGGAGAGGAGGAGTAGGAGGAGAAACAGAAGATACCATGAAGGACAAGTGCAGGAGGAGGAGGAGGCGGGGAAGGAGGAGGTGTAGGAGGAGGAGGAGGAGGAGGAGGAGGAGGAGCATCAGTTCCCCACCGCAATCACAAACTCTTGGAGGCCCGTGCAGGGCCCTCTGGCCAGCACTGGACATCCCCCCCAGGGCGCGCGGACCGCCGCAGGTGCGGCGCCTCAAGGTGGAGGGGGAGGGCGAAGGTCCTGCGCCGACCCGGGGGGGGGGGGTTCGGCGCTGACCGGGGTCGACTAGACGTAAGAGCGACCCTTCGCAGGAGTGACCTTTGGTGCGGGCCCACTGGGTTCCCCGATCGCCGAACGCGATGCGGAAGGGTCGTCTTGCGTGCTTGTGTTTGGTCCCCCCGCGGCCCCCAAAAAGAAGCTCACCTGAGGTCACTCTTACCCAGAGTCACCTCTTGCGTGTAGCCGACCGAGGAATCCGCGCGGACCTGCAGACAGTTGTCCTCCACACATCCCTTCCTTTCTCCAAGGGGAGCAGCAACGTAGATGCAGAAGACACTCGACGCTCCGCGCGGATTCTTCGGACCGGCGCTTCGACCTCCTTGGCGGCACCTCCATCGCCGCCCCTGGCGCGCGAGGGAGGGGTCCCATTGCGGATCCAGGGTGGGCGCTATCCGCCCTCTTCTTTGTTTCGGCGGCGAGCCTGGGGAAGAAGTGAAAAGGGGGCAGGCTTTCTCAGGAGGCGGCGGGGCTTCTCGGACTCCGTCAGTCCTTCCGAGCTTTCTGAGAAGGACCGCTCCTGGCGGCTCGCCCCCGTGCTCGGCATGCCCCGCTCGCCTCGCCCCAGAAGAGAACCAGGGACGGGCGCTCCTCGAGGGTTTGCCCCCTTCCTCCTCCTCCTCCTCCTCCTCCTCCTCCTCCTCCTCCTCCTCCTCCTCCTCCTCCTCCTCCTCCTCCGTTCCTCCTCCCTCCTCCTCCTGACTTCCCCCCTGGGCTCGCTGCCGATGTCTCCCTCTTTTCTGGCTGGGCGGCTCGCACGCTGGCGTGATGCCTCCCCCTCCGTGGAGCGGGGGGCACCGCGGAACTACGGCTGCGGCGGCTTCGGCAGGAAGCAGAGCTGCCAGTGCAACGACAGTGGGGGGGGGGGGCTCGGAGGAGGAAAAGGTACCCATACCTCTACACCTCTACCCTTCGCCCCTTTTCCCACTTTTTGGGCCTCCTCGGAGGCCCTCGTTGCCGCCGCTGGATGTGCCTCGAAACCCTGGTCAGAACGCACCCCGAGAGAGGTCCGGGGATTAGCGGTATGGGTACCTTTTTGTTTTCCCCAGGGGCTGACACTTCTTCTGCTTCTGAGATCGTAGATAGCAAGGCCTATTCCAATGTTGTCGATCCGATTCGATATCGATGTTATCCTACTCGATCGATTCAAGTTCGATGTGCAGGCGACGATGCGGCCAACATCCTGATGCGGCTGATCCGATACGATCTCCGTTCCGTGCCGAGGCAGCTGGATCCGATGGAGCATCCGAACCGAGTTAGCGATTCGATGCCGATTGCTCCTGGAAGGGTTACGTCCCGATGTTGTTGCCATTCCACTGTTGCTGCATCTTCCGTCCTGGTGGGCACCGTCCGCGACTGGTCGCGGCGAAGGCCATCGGTGTTGTTCGGCAGCCCGCACCACGGCCCCGCCACGTGCGTGCGATGACGCCGATCGCCTGTCCTCTGGCCTTCCAGCAAGGGGGGGACGCTGCTTGTCTGCTCTGCAAATTCGCTCGCATCTTGTATTGGCAAGCGCGGGTGTTCACCCTCCAAGTCGCAGTTCCACCGAGTTGGCCCATCTTTTTCGCCCCCCCCCCCGACCATTCATGTGATGAGGAGCAGGCGGACGGGGGAGGCGACAGAAAATTGCTGTGCACCTCGGGTGCTCCTTCGGACCTCAGTAAGTTCCTTTTCCCGAGCAGCCCGCTCAAGCAGGAATGATGTTGCTGATGTTGCGGCTACTGCTCCTGCTTATCTTCTCATCCGCCATCCTCCCGGGGCTGGCAGATTGCAAAGACTACGGGAATTGCTGCTCAGACTACACGGACACATGCCAGGGAGCTTAGTCAGCGTTGTCGGCGGATGCGTGCGGAATTGATGACCGAGTGAGGGACAAGGAAGAGGGAGGTGGGTAGAGGGAGGAGGGAGGCGCAGGATAAGGGGCAAGATGCGGCAGAATGGAGGAGGTGCGGGAACGAGGAAGGCTGGGGAGGGAACGAGTGAGTTCATGTGACGGTGGCGAATGAGGAGCAGGAGAAGGGGAGCAGGTGTTGGCGGCGAGGAGGACCATGAGGAGGACGATTCATCATGAGGAGGAGGGCCAGCAGGAGGAGGGAGGAGGATGCTGGGGACTGGGGATGGCGATGATGACGAGGCTGAGGACGAGGATGCGTCTGGAGGTGCAGGGAGCGGGGGTTGGCCCGGCGCCCGCCTGCCGCCCCCCGCCCCTGGCGAGCGCAGCCGAGAGAGCCAGCGCAGCAGCCGAGAGAGCACGGCGGTGGCCCTGCCTGCGGCGGCAGGGCCCCAGCTCGGAGGGCCGCGGAACCGGCGCGGCAGCGCGAGCCGGGCCCTCGTCGTCGTCCTCTTCTTCTTCTGCTCGTGCTCCTCCTCCCTCTCCCTCCCCCCGTCCCCTCGCCTGCCCCCTCGCGCTTTGCTCCTCCGCTCGCCCCTCGTCGGCCTCGTGCCCCTCTTCATGCTCCCTTTCCCCCCCCCCCCTCTCATGCCCTCCTGGCCCCCTCCCCTCCGCGAGGCATCCCTTCCTCTCGCTCCTGCTCCCGCTCCTGCAGCTCGTCTCCCTTCTCGTGCTCCCCTCCGGCCCCGCACTCGATGCGTGCGGAGGGGTTCTATCGACGCCGCCCCTCGATCGAGGGAGCTGCTCGATCGACGCCGCCCCTCCGATCGACGCCGCCCTCACGCCGAGCCCGCCTAGGGCGGGTGTGCTGAAGCCTGGCGTGTCCCTCCACAGGAGAAATATTCAAAAACAGTTTGAAAAGATATTCCGGGGACGATTGTTGGACCATCTCTGCATATTTTTGTTTTTGAATAGTTTTTACTTTTCGCTCCAAAGCGGCCTGCAGGAGGACGTGACCGACCTAAGGGCGGCCCCCCGGAGCGCTCCGGCCGAGGTCTGGACACCGACAGCCCGCCCCCGCCCACCGCGCCGAGTGCCACGGAGGCCCCGGCGGGGAGCCGACCCTCCTGGCGGTAGGATCGAAGTGGGCACGTAGATTCGGGGGCGGCAATCAGGGGGGTGATGACCAGGGGGGGGATATCATGGCGTGGGCCATGATATTTCCTCAGATTTCTCCGGGAAGCACACTCGAAGAAAAACAAACGCCATAAACATAAACTTTTGGCACTCCGCGCCGATGTCTTGGATCTGCGCTGGGCCCCAGATGGGGTTCGAGCAGATGGGGTCGGAGGATCGCGCCGCATTGCCGATGTATCGACGATCCGGGGCGGCAGAGAGGGGGGTGATGACTAGGGGGGGTGGATCTCATGGCGTAGGCCATGATATTTCCTCGGATCTCATGGCGCCTCTTCTGATTTCATCGCCATGAGCATAACTCGAAGATGAACATTCGAAGAAGAAATCACGCCATAAACATAAACTGTTGGTGCTCCGCGCGGATTTCTTGTATCCGCCCTGGGCCGCCCCGGCGGCGCCTCCGGCACCGCCCCTGACGCGCGGAGCGCGCCAGGGAGGGGGTCCAGCGCCAAAAGTTTATGTTTATGGCGTTGTTCCTCTTTTGTACACGGGTTCCTGTACACAGGAAGTCTACCCATGAGAAGGTAGGGTTCCCACATGGGGTCCGAGCAGCGGAGGATCGCGCCGCATCGCCGATGCATCGACGATGCGGCTCGATGTGGAGCCGACGTCGCGGATGCGTCGCCGACGTCGCCGATGCATCGCCAGTGCATCGCCGACGCATCACCGATGTATCGCCGATGCGGTGCGATCCTCCGACTCCATCTGCTCGGACCCCATCTAGGAGGCCTCTATAGAAACAGCAACAGCTTCCACTCTTGTCGCAGGGCCTTCGTAGATCCCAGGCCCAGACTGCCGTCCAAGAACACGTCGGGCCTGAAGTGGATTTTCTTAGCCCGAAAGATTATCAACTCTAAGCTTAAGTCGGGCCTGTCCCTCTACAGGAGGAAAGTTCAAACATAGTCAAAACATAGTACGGGGGCGAGTTTCCTATCTTTTGTTTTTCATTGTACAATTTGGGGGTATAAGGCTCTAAAATCCTCCTGTAGGGGGACGCCCGACCTAACTCTAAACAGGGGTGTAGGTGGGACGCATACCGACAGCCGTCTCTGTCCATTCTGGGCGTGGCTCGTTGTCGGTGCCGCCGCGGGCCTTAACCAGCTGAGGCTATCTGAGGCAGGAGACCGCCTGCCCGACGGCGGCCACTGTCGACTGCACCGCAGGCGCTGGCTGGCAGCGTGTCACGTTTTTCCCGTAACCGTCCCCGGCGTCCAGATCCCAGCCAGGGGACGTCAATTGATCGCCATGAAGCCGGCGGGTCTTGAGGGAAGGGGGTCCTGAGGCTTTGCCTTGTGTTGGGGCTCCAGGGGGCCTTCCCCCGGCCCTGGGCCTCACAAAAAGCATCTCAGGGTGCAGAGGTGGTCCTGGTGGGAAAGGCCCCGGCCTCCAAGGGCCCCTTCCCCTCGGGACGCTGTTGCTTGGCATCGTTCGGACGTGTGCGTTTTGTCTTCTGCGAGGGCCACCGAGGAGCATCTTGGATCATCTTGCGGAACGATAAACGCACGGAGTCGAAGCATGCACGGGAAGTAGACGCCCGAGCGGCTGCAAGCTTCTGCCGTGGCTGGTCAGCTGACCACCCCATCGATCCTGGTCTGACCAGTCCTGGGCCCAGGACCGGTGCATGCGCCCTCCTGGCCTGGCCAGGATCGGCCCAGCCCAGCACTGATGAGGTGGTCAGTGTGGTGGGCCTGGTTTCCACCACCACCACCATAAGTTGGATAGGAGGAGGGAGGAGGAGGAAGGGGCGGAAGAGGAGGAGGAGGAGGAGAAAGAGGAGGAGGAGGAGGAGGAGGAGGAGGAGGAGGAGGAGGAGGGGGAGGACCCTCTCCCCCTCCAACTTGTGGTGGTGGTGGTGGAAACCAGGCCTATCACAGTTGGAGTCTCCTGGCCCAGGGTGTCAACGGGCTACATTCAGGAGTGGAAAAATCACACAGACGCAATCCATCGTCGATTCCCCAGAAAGATCGAGAAACTATGGGAAGAGGGGTGGAAGACGAACATCCACTATATATACTAACATATGGGAATCCTGTTATTTGTGTCTATTTATTTGTGTGTCCCAGGGCCCCTTCATACACGTGGCAGGGATCTCTCGCCCCGTGGAAGCTTCGGGCGCCGCAGGCACAGGCCCGCGACAGCCGCCGAGCCTCTCCGCATCCCCCCGGCTACGCGTCGGTGAAGCTGGCTGGACGCACGGGGCTCGGCGGTTTTACAACCTCGATTTCCATCTCCACCACCACCATAAGTTGCAGGGGAGAAGGTGGAGAGGGAGGAGGAGGAGGAGGAGGAGGAGCTATGGCGCTATGGCGGACGCGCGGTGCCCAGGTGCTAGCCTGGCCGCCCCACCACAATCACCGAGGGAAGGCCATTCCCGACTTAGGCGGGAGCCCCCTCTCCAGTCGGCCCAGTGCCTCCAAACCCTTCTTGGTCGGAGGCCTGCACTCGCTTTTCAAATTGCGGGCACTTGTGACCGCAAAGCTTCCACACACAGTGCAAAACAGAACGCCACTCAACTCAGATAAGGAATGGGTCTCGTGGCAGTGGATGGCCATGGGATGCACAGCGGGCCCAGAAGCAGCGGCCCCTGGGCCCACAAAACCAGGCTCCTCACCCTCACGAGGCACGCGGTACTGGGCAAACCGCCCAGCGCTGCAGGGGCCAGGCCAGAAGACAGACAGTGGCCCCTTCTTGCTAAAACGCGCAGAACAGATACTACACTTGAACAGAGTCTTTAGCTCAACAGGCGAATGGCCCTGCTCTTCGAGACGCCCACGTCTGATCTGCGCACTGCTCGCTCCAGCGCGCGTGCGCACATGCTCATGCCCAACACGCGCGTACTTAGTGCGCTCACGCGGGTGTTGCACCACAACTTCACGCTGGATGGCTAAAAGCCTCCGAATGATATCCCTATTTAATATATCCTGCTCAAGCGTGATGGCCGCCATTTCCTGGGGGACAGCCGCTCTACGGGCCATCTCCCCAGCACAGGCATCGGCAGCTCCATTCAAAAGCCGTTCAATCGACGTGAGACAGAGGGCGCTGACCTGGGGGCCTGTGGGGTGGCTCTTGGTCCAGCGGAGGTCGATATCACCTTCTCGGGCGTCAAGGACTTCCCAAAGGCGAACCCAGAGGTCCAGCATCTCAGACTTGGCCAGCAAGGCCCGTGGACGTCGGAAAGCTCGCACAACAGGAAACTAATCACTGAACACCAAGATACGCCCATACGTATACTGACACACATAAATCAACGCGAGAAGTTCAGCACGTGGGCTAAACTGTTCACCTCCCAGGGTCCCCGCGATGCCCCCATCGATGTTGTCCAGGGTAGCACCTAGTCTAACGCAGGCCCACCCACAACGCCTTAGTCTCTCATCCTTAGCGTGCTCCCCCCCCGATCCGTCGATTCCCCAAACGCCCCCTTGGCAGACAGGCAACTCCTCGAACGATCCCCAACCAATGGCGCTTTCAATCGCGATCGGCAGATGTCCAACCGTCCTGTCTAGAGGCATAAGGCCCCGACACCAGAGGGCAGGGCAATCAACATCACGAGCAGCTTGCTCGCGGAGGTGAGCTGTACGCTCCACAACTGGATCTGGGATGGAATCGTTACTCCTGCAGTCCCAAAACCTGTGGAAGGGGGTCTCACAAACCTCCCCGCAGCGCGGGCAGATACCATTAGAAACCGTGTGGTATCCTTCATCATGTAACCTCTGGTCAGTCCAGAAGCCAGCAGAACAAAGGTTCCAAAGCAAAGCCTGCCCCTCGTAATCGAAGTCTTTCCCCAATCGATTGATCTCCTGTTTGAGGACCATGAAATCAACCCCCGAAGCGATTCCATACCCATGGTAATGCTTGGCAGCCTGTCTCCAGACCAGGCCGCTGCACGTGGCCTTAATAGCGCGCCGCAAGGTCACGGCAAAATCCAGGGCCTCAGTGTAGAGGTCGTTGCCAAAGTTATCTCGCCAATGCACTGGATACAATGGGCACCAGCCCAGATCAAGCAAGACAGCAACAGTAGCGGCGATCGGCCCACGGACCCGTTTCCAAACCTGGTTCCTGGGGATACTGACGTACTCCTGAAACCGAGCCTGCCAGACCTGGGAAGCACGCAGCTTCTCCTTATCAGTAAGGGATTTCCAAAGAGTCACAAACCCAGATAACTGTTCACGCCGCAAACGAAAAATTGGATCATTCTTCTCGGCCCCGAAGACACTCAGGATGGTGGTAGAGCAAGCTCCAGCATGCCAGTGGCCAGAGCAGACAGCGGCCTGCCCGCGCGCACTCTGCACTTGGGCCCCAGAGAGGCCAGCAACATTGTGGCCCCAGGTGCCTACAGCGAGCACGCCTGGTTTGTAGAGCTTAGACGATTTCTTGACCAGAGTTGTCAAGTAGCGCACTTTCTTACCTCGAGCTGCGGCCTTCCGCCGCCTGGCACGAACAATGGCAGCAGTCCTCCTCCTTCCTGCCGTGGTAGCCGTACCCAAATCACGTGTAACATCTTCAACCCTGACAGGGAGGCCTGCTGCTTTCAAATCAGTAGCGACAAGAAGTGCAAGAGGCCGTCGGTTCGCGACAACCGCAGACTTATTAGACAAAACAAGCTCGGCTGCATTAACCGAATGGCCTAGCTGAACTGCTGCGGCAACAATCTGCCGTCGGACCTGGTCTTCAGCTCCCTGGCACACCTGGGATATGTCGTCAACGTAAGACCTGGTAGACGAAGAGGAGTAGGACCCCCTCCCCCTCTTGCTTATGGTGGTGGTGGTGGTGGAAAACAAGCCAACCACTGTGTTTTAGCAGGAGGCTGCTTTTTGGGGGGGTCTGGCGATAGCCCGGGTTCTCGGGGTTGCCCCCCTCCCTCCCCAGGATAATCTATGTAACCTTGCCGGTTGTGCAGGTCCGGGGTG